CGGGGCCTAGGCGGGCGCGCGCTGGTGCCCGGGGCGCGGGGGCGCGGGAACGCGAGGCCCGGCTTGGCCTAGGCGCCCGCGGTCGAGGGGGTGTGCCTTACAGCGGAGGGTCCCACGCGGAACTTTAGGAGGGAGCCGGCAAAGGAAATAAGTGGCAGCGCGGAGCTCTCTGGTACCAAGAGGGACTTAGTGTCCGGCCCTCTTAAGGGAGAGCTTTTGTCCGTACAACGCAGACTCCATTTATTAGTCTTGAACTGCGTGCAGGGCTCTCTGATGGGATGGGGCGAAGAAGGTTAGAACCTGGGACTGTAGCGTCGCTGAGGGAAAAGACACTATTTCCATATCGAGGATTCCAGCCAATCCCCAGGGGTGTTTTGCTCCTGGTATCGTAGTTGCCACGTCCATCCAGGACTCACCTGGTGAACGAGATCAGGTTACCTGCCTGCTCAGGCTCTTTTTCCAGCTGTAGCACAAGGATAGAAGGATAATGATACTGCCTTAAAGGATTATTAACAAGATAAACCTTGGAGAGCAATGTGTAAAAAGCTTTTCATACAGTACGGTATGTCGTTATCAACAGGAGAAAAAAATGTAAAATGAAATGAAAATAAGTGTACCTTAGCCTTTGACTCTGTAATTGCACTCTTAGGAATTTATCCTTAACATATAATAATATGGAAGATATTACTTGTAAAGTTTGATTAATAACAAAAGGGGGATTGAGCAAACAGCCTGGTGAATTATATTACATCAACCGCATGGATTTCTATGCAGCCATTTAAATGACAATTATGAAAATCATATAATGTGGAAGAATTTACAAATAATCAAAGTTTAAAAGCAGAATAAAAAGTTGTATGTATGCATTTAAAAGTATCCAGCACAATGAAAACTAAGGATAACAGTATGAGGGATTTTTTTTGTGTGCTTTGTTTAAGGCTGTTGTAACATTAATGCAATTTTAAATGTTTAACAAAGTCTAATATATTTTAATCCTAAATCAGTGTCAATGGTTAGTTTCAATTCATCAGTGATGTCACTTCATTCTCCAGATGAAGTTACCTCCAAGAGCATCTCATCAGCCTAAATACAACCCTACAACTAAAGTGATTATATAAAGTTCTGAAAGTCAGACTAGAAATTCATTCAACAAATGCTGAGTGCCTACTATGTGCAAAGCAATGAACAAGATCCTTTCGAAATGCTTCTTTGTACTACAGAGGCTTTGAAGATACACTAACCAATTTGAGCAATAGCCACTATTCACAATTTAAGAGACTGGATGGATAATGACAATACAACTTAGCAAACCGATACATACATATACATTTGTCTCATTCTTATGGCACACATTGTTCCCAACCACCCACTAACATACTTTGTAGCTTTGTATTAGGTAGTAGAAGTTAGGATTTCAGAACGCAATGGGGGAGCTGGGGAGGCTGCCTGTTGAGACGTTTAAAGCAGTACATTCAAATACATAAGTGACAGTACAGAAAAATATACATGTTTAATATGCAGGTAAGACTCTTTAGGCTTGCCTATGTGTAAGTTTAAATCTTGCTTTTTAAAACAAAAGATTCAGATAAGAATGATGCTTTGAGACCATTCATATTGTTAGGGAGAGCTAAACTTTCGTTTCATTACATTTTACATTAGATGCATAGTATTGCTTCATGATTGCAACAATTTAGTCATATTTTTGAGGGGGGAAAAAAGAGGAACAACAATTATTAGGGAATTTACCCTTTTCTTTCTTCCTAAAATAGAAATCCACTTTCAATGTAAATTGTACCTATATATGTCTCTAATAGGTATGGGAATTGCAGAAAATCTTTTCAAAGCCTTTTTATTCCCTTATGACTTCCAGTTTGCTCTCTGTAGAGCTGTGCACCTTTTATCAAATCATTGTTTTAGGCATCTGTCTCAAGTATACTAATTCCACCTATTTCATACCCATAAAATGCCTTTTTTCCATCAATGCCGCTAAATAGAACCTTCCAATGAAAATGCTGTAACAATTCATTAAACAGCATTTTTGAGCAAAAGTTTTAAACTTTTTCATTAACATATTTTAATCACTTAATGTTGCACTCTTTATCATGGTATCCTAGACGAGAGGTAAAAATCAACACCCAGTTATAAGAATATTTAAAATCTTTTGTTTAAAACATGTTTCTGTTTTCCAAGGCTAATGTTAAATTTCATATGACTTTGCAAGAAAATGCTTACCATCTGTAGTTGGTATTTTTTTCTTCTGCTCCAGCCATTAATATATTTTTTACACAGAAGAGTTGTCTCCAGCAATAAAAAATCTGTCTGAGATAAGGTTATGTTAATAATGGTACTCCTGTGAAGCTATTTTTGTAGTATAAATTTCAAATTTAATACAGTTTATGCACCATAGAAAAAGCAAACATCAGGCACTCAGCAGTTTCTAACCCTGCTTAAAATTCAACTTTCTTTAATCTTTAGAATACCATGAATTGAATTGAATATTTGGTTCTATTATAGCTTCCTCTGAATTAGCTTATAACTGATGAAGCCGCCACACACCACCCACATATACTTGCTGTTGTCAACCTGACCCTTCCTCCCCCATCTCTACCATTTCCTCTGCCTCTCCCATGTCCTTAAAGTCAGTAGGTTCACTAAAAATCCTCAAGTGCAGTCCTGTCCTGACATGGTTTAGGATTAGGTCACATTCCAAGCTACTCTCCATGACCCCTTCCTTGTCCCCCTCCCAGAAAACCTGGTCCCCAGTGATGGAAACTGAGGTCACATCCGGGACCTGTCTCTCTCCAGATCTGGGGTCCCCCATGCACTCGCCTCAGCTCTTTCCTTCTTGGCCTCTACCTTGGTGTACTAAGGTGGTAGCCCCTACCCACATACCCTTTTGAAGGAATCTGCCCTCACCTATTGCTCTAACATAGTGTGCTAGGCTCTATCCCAGATACTGATTCAAGAGGTTGGGGTGGGGCCCATGAATTTGCATTTCTAATGCTGCTGGTGGGGAGAAACCCCTTTGAAAACCATTGCCTTACACCAGGGGTGAGCCTGAGTGGCCCTGCTTGTACTAGGTGAGCAGGACCTCAGGTAACTGAGCCCAAAGGTAGATGGCTAACTGAGAAACCAATCAGATTTTCTCTCCTTGGAACATGAAATGGGGATGATAGGAAGACAGTGGTGGGGAGATGGGTTGAGAGATCACACAGTTAGCAGCTAAGGACACCATTTTAAGGTTCAGGTAGATAAATAAAAGCAGAAATAAGTGTGTAGAAAGATACTAAAAAGCAGATAGACAGAAGCAGAGATAAGAGGCTTCATAACCCCAAAGAGAGAGACAAAGAGAGTGACTGTCTGACAGATTTCCTGCAGGTACTCCTGGGTGGGTAGCTGCTGGAATGGGGGCTGTTGGGGTTGCTGATAGGATTGTTGTTAGGTGGACAAGCCCAAGGCTGGTCAGGAGCAAGTTGTGCCTGTAGTGCTTCCCTCTGGGAGCTAAACACCTAGTGTAGGTCCTGGTGATCACACAGTAGGTATCAATAGTATTTGTTGAATGAATGAATGAATGAATGAATGAATGAATGAATTCCAGGTTGGTAAAGACATGGGACTTACCCAATTGTAAAAAGGGTGCCTTCTTACAATTCATTTCCAAGGGATCTCACTGTGCAGAATAACCACCTCACCCCTTACTTCAGGAAGTTGAAGTGGGTCCCTGTCTGTTGCATTCACTTTGTCTCCACTTAGAATACCTTTTCTTCTTCAGGCATGTCCTAAGCTCTTCCCCAAACATCCTTGATTATCTCCCTGCTTCCTCAGAACCAAGTCTCCCTGCAACCCAGCCTGTGGCTTGGATCCTACCACTGAAGGAAAGCACTTCTAGAATCTAGAGCGGCCTAATACATATACGGCTATTGTGCGCATGAAATATGACTGGTGATGTGTTGCAAGCATAAGATGCATATTGGATTTTGAAGACTTAGTATGGAAAAAAAGAAGACAAAATATCTTAATCTTTTTTATATTGATGACATGTTAAAATGGTAATATTTGGGATATATTGAGTTAAATAAAATATATTATTAAAGTTAATGTCCCTGTTTCTTTTTCCTTTTTTTAACATGACTACTGGAAAATGTGAAACTACAAATGTGACTCACTTTATACTTCTGTTGAACGGTGGTGATCTAGACGATGACGACCATCCCACCCATCTACCTCCAGAATGTTTGCCACCAGCTGGTTCTCCAGCCAGTGGGCTCTGGGCTCTGGCCAGCACCAGACTTTCCCTGCATCACTCTTCAGCCCTTTTCTTACCCACTCAGCTCTCCAACCAATTTCTATAGCTAGGTCGGTTCAACAGCAACTATCTCACCCTAGTGAGAGTGTGACAATATCCTCCAAAAAGATACAATGCAGTCCTATACTCCATCTCCTGTACCTGTGAATATGGCCTTATTTGAAAATAGGGTCTTTGAATATGTAATCAAGTTAAGATGAGGCAACAGGGTATGTTCTAATTCAATATGACTGGTATCCTTATAATAAGAGGAAAATACCACGTGAAGACAGAGACAGACAGGAAGAATGTCATGGGATGACTGAGACAGATGAGAGTGTATAGCTGCAAGCCAAGGAATGCCAAAGATTGCTGGCCGCCACCAGAAACCAGGAAGAGGCAAAGAAGGAGTCTACCCAGAGAGCATGGCCTTGCCAACACCTTTATTTTGGATTTCTAGCCTTCTGAACTGTGAAAGAATAAACTGCTGTTGTTTTTAGCCACACTATTTGTGATACTTTGTCACAGGAGGCCTAGGAAACTCATACAATCTCTAAGTCCTTTCCACACCCAATTATATTATACACAATACAGGTAA